GGGGCCAGTTGTGTTTAGGATCAGTAGACACTTTCTCACCTCCCTACCCCAGAGGGATACCTCACTTTCTCTCCTGACAAAAACGTTGTAAAATAACAGCAGTTAATTAGGTTGCTGTACTATAAAGGAATTTCTCCCCCATTTCCAAGACACTTTGATGTATGCGCGTGTTAAAGGCGGCCCCTCATCCTTTTATTCCCCTGTACTGTGTTGAAAGATCTTCTTACGGGTAATTCAGGTGTTGAAGAATTCTATTTTATCGTCTGTTTAGTAACTAAGGTTGCAAGCTTTGTAAATCAAACAACAAAATTTTGCAAAATATTAAACAAACTCAATAAAATGATTTGATATATCCAGAGCCTAAGCCTTGTTCTGATTGGTTGGTTCCCTTTAGACAAACAGATGAACTCTTCTTCCACCTGTCGCTTGTCAGCCGTGCCGAGACAATTAATTACCAAATTTTTGATAAACAGGATGACTAAATGTTGATGTTTTAATTACCGGCTCATAAAATCTCTATGTCCCTTTTGAAATACAACTTTTCGCCATGGACGACAGGTTTTGTTTACATAGACGACAGTAAAACCTTCGAACGCCAGCGAAATTTTTGATTGGACAAGATTTATCGATGGTTAGTAAATTTGGCGGGATTTGAAAGAGCTCGTTATTCTTTCGCAAAAAAGAAAGAAACCTTAATTACTTTTTTTGCTCTCAGGACACTTTAAGTTTTATCAAAAGTTTAGTTGAGTGTGTGGGAGGAGGGAAATTGGGTCGCGGTTTGTAAAACCTATTGTTTTTTTTTCCTCACTAATTGACAGAAGACGTCTAAGTTGATTTTGTGGTCTTTCTGCCTTACTTAAAACAATACAAGCTGGCAGTAAACACGGTATAATTTGATGATACTTAATAGACACAGATAGGTGAATGACAGGCCTCAAAAATGGTGGCATTTCCTCGCGTACTCCATTGTCATGGGTCTCTTTAGCCCCATCCTGTTCTGTCAGCGGCTGCTTAAACAAATAACCCATTCCTGAAGTCGTCAAAAGGCATCATAATTTAGGAATTTTTGTGCTGAAAAACGTCATTGAAGAGGCGTTGAAAATATAACGACAGCTGCTGCTGCTGCTACCATGTTTGTTTTTTCTTTACCTTACCAGTTTAGTCACTTTAGTTTGTTTGAAGCCAAAGCTTTGATGTGAATAGTTAGGCTCGCTTAGACACTTCACTTCATTATTAATTTATGTGTTGAAGGAAGAGAGCGATATAAGTGAAATAAACCATCAAATACTGAGGTGAATGGTGAAGTGGTTAAATGGCTTTTCAAATTGATAAACACCTATTGTTGTTTGAATGATCTTGGCGCCATTCTTGGACTCTTAGCCCTTCTTTCCAGGTTTACATGTCGATGTGTCTTATTGTGCCGTTGGGAGTGACTTAAAACGCCACATAATGAAAGCATTTGTTTTGTTTGGCTAAATCTGTGGCAACTCAATAGTGGGATCGCAAAACTGATCTCAATGGTGACGAAAGGAGATACCCTTCTCCCCATTTTTCTGCGAGGCGAAAGCTTAAACTGTAAGAGCATTTGGCACGAGAAATCTAAGGAATACTGTTTTTCAGAAGAGTCGAAGTCCTATGCAGACTACTTTGGAGAAGAAAATGGTAATCAATTTTTCCAACGCTATCCCCGGAGCGTACTACTTCTGTTCTTATAAGTAGTACTCCCCGTAGAACAAATTTGTCTAGTCGACTTTATTTTCGCCTTGCTATTACAACGGCATTCATCAAGCGAAATTGTGGCAAGTGAACCCAACGATCGGATGACAGGATGGAGGGGGGTGACTGAATATGTAACCGTGCAGACTCTTCGACCTCCACCGTTGATGTTCCAGCGCTTCTGAGCTTCACCTCCACTTTATTACTATTTTTCTGACAAATGGTCAGTCAAAATTATCATTTTTTGTGCAATCATAGGCTAAAATTATCAAATACTATCTGTGCAAAATGTAGTAACCACAAAGCAACCGCGCCACCCACTAAGTGATTACAGAGCTCACTGGGAGTGTAACTCCTTTAGCAAAGGAAAAAAACGAAACATTTGCAGAACCGTAAGCCCTAATGGATACGCAGGTTAATTTTACATACACACACACTACCATTTGACTCGACTACTGGTTAAAACTGGCGCCAGTTTAAATGCGCACCTTAAAGGCTTCCATTTGCTTCCTCCGAGGCGAGGTAGCTAGATCTTTTTACACACTGAACAGTGATGAAATCCTCTCTGTCTCTCTCTCCCTCTCCCCACTGTGGTGTTTTTACCTCTGGGGGAAAATGATGGCTTCATTGAGACATTTTTCATAGATTATCCACCACGTCTATCAACGAGCCTCCCATGAGAGGTGTTTAACTGATACAGAAGAAGGGTTTGTCAGATTTTTCAACCCAACCACCTAGATGGTATGCAGATCTCCTGATAAAATCGCACCGCGGTCGAAAAATAAAAACAGTTAAAACAATAGTACCAGCCTTTTGCTAGCACCTGACATTTTACCAATGTTTTCGTCCAAAAGGGCGTAAAAAAGTTCAGATACTTCTCTAACTTACCCTAACGGAGATTATTTTGAAATGGGCTAATTTCAGCTGAATCTTATTTTAACCAACAGATAAAAAGGAGGCTCTTTGAAAGGAAAAAGTTGCCTAAAATTGTGGAGTTTAAATTTGCCTATTAGGCAGAAAAGTGGAAAGGAGGGAATTAACTTCTCCAAATGATAGGTAAATTTTCCTCTTTCTTTGCATAGTCCAGGCTAGTTAACTGCATAATCTACAAGGAGCTGCTTTTCTGACTAGCTTTATTCAGTGCATTTGTGGTAAGTATTTTTAGGAGAAAATACAGTTTGGTATTTTTTTCCCAAAAAAGGGTCCATTTTATCACTGAATCAAGCGATGATTGTTAAGTCTGATAGCGTGGCTATAAGTGTAGTCCCACCCGCCTCGACAATTCCCCCAACCCCCATCACAAGAGCCCACACGAAGGCTAACACCACCAAAAGCAAAAATAACACAACAATTGGGGACGTGTGAATACGTGCATGTAGGAGATGCTATCAAGCTTTTGTGAGTAGAGAGGTGAGGTGGTGGGGGGTGGTGAGGGAGTGGAGGGAAGGGGCGAAAAACCGCAACGCCAATGAATAAAAAATGGCACGTTTGCCAGGTGAGCAACCGTGTCCCAACCACGCACCTGACGCGTTTTCATGGTGAGAGGTGGAGGGGCGGAGAGGAGAGCGACGCGAGGGTGGCTCCACAGAGGAGCGGACACAAGCACCCCAACCCACCTACCACCTTCTTGTGGTGCAAATTAGTCATCTAACAAAACAAAATCCCCTCTGGTAGTTTTTTAGGTAAAGGTGAAAAGTAGTTCGTCTGATGGAGTATGAAAATCTGAAATATTTGCCCACTTTCGGTTAGTAACCACTCTGAGTTGGCTTTAAAATATTTTCGGTTGTAGACAGTTATCTCTATCTACGCAGCTTACTTTAAAATGTGGTGATATGAAACCTTGCGATGTGGCACTGACGATGTTGACAGAAGAAAAACAGTTGATTTTAATCTCTGAAAGAAAAAAAAAGCTCACCTCTAGTCACCTCCGTTGTTACCTTAATTGCATTTCTCAACTGGCTGTTTGGTATGTGATGGGGTGGCTGACGCCCCAAAGACCACTAAAGTGTAATGAGCAGCATGTGGAGAAATAACACCAAAAAGAAGAAGGGAAAGAGATGAGACAGTGTCTTACCCACATCACACTTTAAAGAACCTTTGAAGTAGGCGGTATGTTGTGGGAGACTTTGCGCTGTGGATCATAGGTCATTCTTTCTACTGAGCTGTTTGTTACAAAAGAAGATTCTATAGTAAAAACTTGATTGAATGGGAGATGTATGAAGTGAATGTATCATAACCATGTGGGTAATTTATTGTTCCAAGAGAACGATTACTTTCCAGCAGTCCAAAACACGGAAATCATCGTCTTTAAAAGATGAGCTGTTTGGGCAGAGTGAAAAATGTGCCAATTGGGGACAAGCGATAAA